ACACACCTACATACATTCCTACATAATGTTCGCTGGGACTGGATTCCAACTAGTTTCAATGGCACTTTCACTACAGATAAAATCTCATTTTAATGCATGTGCTTGTATGAATAGATCATCATTCCTCTCTGTTAAAAAAGCCTCAAATATAAACATTTATCATCCAAAACTGTGTTCCACAGTGTTCCACAGTAGATATCAATGCCCTGACAATGCTATGACGATGAACTTGTTCACGACGATATCTCAATCTAATGGAGATATCATTTTTTGACATGAAAAGATTTGATGTACAATGCTTCCTGACAAATGCTATGATCCTCGGCGCCTCATGAACTTGTTGATATATTTGATATCAAAAGACACTTGGGTGAGATTCTCTATATGTTCTATATATTATGACTCTACCCTTTCTTTTGCACTGCAAATCTAATGGCAGTATTTTATTTTGTTTTCAGCATATCTCAAGATGATAAAACATGCTTTTTCATTGACAAACTAATGAATTGTGTTTTATGTAATTCTCTCTGATAATTTATCCCAGAACAACAACATGTGATTAAGGAAATCGTTTCCATCTATATGTCTGTGGTTAGCAATCTCTGGCAGCAATGTACAGAACACTGACTACAACATGTGATTAAGGAAATCGTTTCCATCTTTATGTCTGTGGTTAGCAATCTCTGGCAGCAATGTACAGAACACTGACTACAACATGTCAGCAACCATGGACATTAACAAACAGAGAAGATATCATCTAAATGTTTTCCAGGTAATTACAGGGGGGTTAGAGGTCCTGCATAAGCCTTGATAAACATAAAGGGTACTGACATAACAGGTAGCTGAGCGGAGGTCAACAACAGTTGGCTGGCTGGACCAGTCAGGAAATGGTATTATTACAAGTCTCATGAACGACAGGGTGCCTCAGGCACCTTGTGGATGTAAGTAATAGTTATCTATATACCTGTAATCATCAAGATCCCTCTAGAGCACACCTGAAGGCTCTTGTCTAATGAGAGATTGTCTTTGATGATGCTAGATACAAGTATGTCCCTCAGACAGAACACTTCATGGGATTCTAATCCTTGATAATCAAGTGTGTTGAATCTGTAACCTACCACAGAAAACACCCTACAGACATTTGTCACCAAAGTGTTGTTGTTACCATAGAGGATACTAAACGACCTTCAGTGTAATACCTTTTTTATTAAACGAGTTTATGATTTGGTATCAAACGAGCAAAAGCGAGTTTAGTATTCTGTTTATTACTCTCCAACATAAATTGATATAAACTGCCTACAGTGTGATGACTCTCAGCTTTCTGCGAGTCAAGCAAGGTCTAATACCATTGTGACAGAGGTATTAGCATTGTGACGTCATAACTGCAAACCATTATGATGTCATGCGTCTAGCGGTATTACACCAGTGTAATATTGACGTAAAAATATTCCACTGCAGTATCTTCTACGGGAGAGTAATAAATCTCAATCTCTGCTATCTCTCACTATAAACTTGCTCTATGAGAAGACATAATATCAAGTCACAGACTGATATAAAACGTGACCCTGTTATAATCAGAACATGGCCACATAAACCACTGGTTAAACGCATGAGAGATGATACAGAAGTCTAACTAAGTAACAATCAATCTCATTCCAAAAACTAAAAGTAGGTCCGTAATGTATTCCAGCTGAAATGTCATTTCCTAACAGTGCTTTTCTATTTTTCCATAATTTCAGAGGCCCCAATTTCCAAGAGCTATCACTGTGTGACAGTGAGAAACATGATCAGGATTAACCATAACCTGATGCCAATATCAAAGGTGTCTGGTGTCCAAGGAAACAACACTGCACAGTAACCTGCAGTGCCTCAAACGACACAGCCACACATGCCCTTGTCTATGACCGGATTCAGTGAGTGAGTGACTTGGATTTTATGTCGCTTTTAGCAGTATTCCATCAATATCATTGCAGGAGACACCAGAAATGGGCTTCACCCATTGTACCCATGTGGGGAATCAAACCTTCAGTGTGACGAGCAAATGCCTTAACAACCGCCCCTATTACTGGATTCAAAGATACATTAATACATCTTAATACATTAGGTTCCAATATAGCTCTAAGCTCTAAGATGGTTGTCACCTGAGAGCTGGCTGATCAGCTCTGAGCCTCACATAGAAGTGCATAAACTCTTTGATCTTTTGTTGTGGACATTAATTACATAATGTCACACAGTTATATCAACAAGAATGGAAAACTTGAGAAATGTGTCATCATATTTATTTTACTGCCTTGTCAACAATTTGCTTCGTCGACTCAAATTTATTGTGGCGATCTCTCAATGACTTTATGTCATGTTCACAATAAATGGTTCTTCAATTCTTTCTGTGTGAGTTTTAAACTCTCATCGATCTGTGTTGATATATTTGATATTAAAAGACACAATGAGATTATCTATACAAGCACCAGCAGGGTGTCGGACACTTTGCCGCCTGCTTGCCAGGATGGTCAAGTGGCACATTAGTGCTTCGATCATTAACATATGCATGAGGGGCTGAACATGAGAGGTATAGGAGACAATCAAGACAACAATCACCTTGGTATCAGCCAACAATAGCATCAATCAGGCAATTATGTTTAATGCTTGCCCTAAGCCCCGTGTTTGTCATCAGGCTATTCTCAAAGTCCGTGAAGAGGTTCATATGACATGCCGCTATACTGGTCCTTTGTAAAATATTCCTTCAAAATACTGAGTTTCAATAATACCAATAAAAGATCAATATCAAGTTATGATGATAAATATTTTTTTACAAAGAGTGATTTAAACTGCATGTTTATTTCCCACAGCAGTTACAATATTAGCAGTTCTGGAAGCAGTGCCGGCCATAATGTACACTAAAACACTGAAACTGTACACAAACTCAGTTTACCTAGTACATGTCATGATTCATCAATAATAGCTATTCCCAGTAAAACACTGTCCTGCTTAAGATTCCTCCATAAATGGTATGTGTTGTCCAGATACCAGGTAACACACCTTGCCCAGGTATAACCAATGTAGTATGGAGTACTGTGGGGTAATCGTTACCCACCTGCAAAGTCATACCATCTCATTCACAACGACACTATTGATTTGTCAGAGAACTGACACTAACCACTTACAATCCCTGTTGGGATGTCTGAAAAGAAATTTACTTTTACAGTTGACCATTAATTATGTAAATGTAACTTCGTTAGTGTTAATTAACCACTTTCACCTGAGTCGTCAAGGTAAGCATGATGAACGTCACAGGTGAGTGGACATCGTAGTCTTAGGAAAATGTATAATCATTACAATCAATACACTAACTTATACAGTATATCTGTTTACAGTACATAATCCTATTTAAGTGTCTAATTACCGTGCTTCAAATAATAACTAATTAACACAGCACTAATAAGTATGATTGTTTCTGGTGATTTCCCAAGTGAAGAGATGCTTTGCTTTTGCACCATTACTTAATATTTAATGCAAATAGGATAAAAATAAAAACTCTACTTAGTAGTAGTAGTAATAGTAGTAGTAGTAGTAGTAGGTGTCGTCATGGTAGTAGTAGTAGTAGTAGTAGACTATGGCTGAGAAACAATGTTACTGAATATATAATTGTCACATGTACTTCAAAATTAGTTTTCACTGCTTTTCTAAAGTTGTTGGAATTTTATTTCAAGTTTAAGCAGGAATTTAACTGCAACTGTTTCACATATTTTAATATCCTGCCTTTTAATGACAAAGTAAATCTGTAAAATAATAGCGTCAGCTGGTCTTAACTTTGTTAGCCTCACTTTAAATTAACTTTTTTTAAAGATTACCTTGGAAAAACAAGTTAAATCTTTTGTGTGCTGCACTGAAATACTTAAACAATTTTTTCCCACAATAGGACAGGACAAAAAGAAATTAAACAAATTACAGCCTCATCTTGGATATCACCCAAATCCTTTGACTAAACATTGACAACATTTGTCAATTTAAACAGACCAAATACATCTTGTCATTGGCAGTACAACAGAGGAGAGGAATCTGTTTTTAATGGCTGCAGAGGAAAAGGTAATTAATTCTAATTCTCAGACTGAGACAATGATTGATCTGCCAACAGAATCAGAACATGACCAACTTATGGTTATGGTGACACAGCCTGTTCTGAATTATCCCAGGTACAGTGTCTCCATTTCATAAAGGTAACTACCCACTTCATCAGCTTAGCTGGATTTCGAGTACTCATCTAACCAGATTACATTCTTCATGAATGTAAGAGTTGAGTGAGTGTAGTTTTACGCCGCTTTTAGCAATATTCCAACAATATCACAACGAGGGACACCACAAATCGGCTTCAAACATTGCACCCATGTAGGGAATCAAACCAAGGTCTTCGGCGTGACGAACGGATGCTTTAACCACCAGGTTACTCCACCACCCCTTATGATTTGAACAAGCCATGACTGACAAGTACTCAACTGGCTTGTTCTTACATCTTGAATACAACATCAGTAGTTAAGTCACCATCTCAATCTCTCTTATCTCAAAGTATATAGCTCTCTGTGAGTGAGTGAGTGAGTGAGTGAGTGAGTGAGTGAGTGAGTGAGTGAGTGAGTGAGTGAGTGAGTGTGCGAGCGGTTCTTAACAGTGCTTGTTTTTTTATAATTTCAGAGGCCCCATTTCAAAATGTTGTCTCTTTGCTATGACTACCATAACCTCTATATTTTAACTTAAATGCTACAATTGATGAGGAACCAGAAATATAAGTAACAAGCTTAATGACCTAATGTAGAACCCTCACATTCCAGACTCTGCTATCTCGGAATCTGTTGTCAAAATACCACAGGCTACTAACAACACACTGATTACACAGTGACACAATTACACAAGGTGTCTTCAGGTAATATACAGACTAAACTTTTGACTTCACCAATCTTCTGTAGCCTACCTAATGGCAGTTCTTCACGTTACAGCATCGTCTCACCTACCTCCACTGCATCTCTGCTACATCCGATGGGTAGATACGTTTATTACATCCCAATAAATACATCCATCCCAGTTCTCAGGGTTATCTTGTAGTGATCTCACTGAAGCAGGTCAGAGGTCAGTCAGGTGTATCTGCGACTGTGAGGGCGTGTTCAGAGACTTCACAGATCACTGTTATTCTACTGTATGTATTGTACCATGACTAAGATGATTTCATTCAGCATGCTTATTTCTGTCCCGAACATTAGGCAGGCTTAAAATAATCTAGATCATCATGTCAAAAGGCAGAAGGTATCCTATTTTTATTTTTATTTAAATCTTATTTATCCTAATATTTTTTCTTTCAAAGAAGACACAAGATGCCAAATTCTGTTTTGCTACAGCTTCCCTGAAGCAGTCAGACACAAGTTATTTACAAATAACATGAGGTGAGGTTTTAGAGAGATGGGGCTCACATTTATTTAAAAATATTTATCTTGAAAATATTGGTAAAATGTTAATTCCAAATGGGACAGAGGACAATGTTTTCTGGAGCTGAGGCAATCAAAACTTGCCAAATCATTCTACAATTGGGTGTAATTAATCTTTGTATTCATTTAGGAGGCAGACTTAGGAGATAGTGAATAATTTATGTTCTGGACTCACATCAAGGAAATAATCTTAGCAGAATAATATGAAAGTTGAAAAATCCTCTCTGAATATTCTTATCAATGAATCAGTTGTCAAGGATAACATTTCTTTCTGTAAAAATAATATTTTTCACATTAACAAATATGATTTAAGTGCCTCAGTTAAAACAATTTGTTGAGAAAATAATGTTCATTGTAGAACATTGTTTATAATGCAAGAGTCAAGGTGCTTTCTGCAGTAAGAGTTTTTAGTCTATAATTAACTGGCATCATTGTGAACCCTCTTACAACTAAAAGTAACATAATCTTCGACTTCTGGTTGGAGTTTGTGTAATACACAGAGCTGATAATCTCCTGATAATCATGGATTAAGGTTTCAGTGACCAAAGCGTTGAAAGAAATATTAGCTACTTTGATCCAGCCAATGAAGAGAATCATCCATGCATGGCCTGGTCATGTTTCCTCAGTAGCAACAATCTACCCAGCTTCAACCAAACTGGTGGGGAAATTAATAGCTGGCTGCATAGTTTACATGACTTAACAGTAGCTGACTGAAAAGGTGGATAATTTAACAGTACTGGGAGTGTTCTGGAGTGTGTTGGCGTGTGATATGTTGGTTTGTATTAGCTTTGGTGTGATGGTGTGATGTGCGTGATGTGGTGTGTGATGTGTGTGTGAGGTGTGATGTGGTGTGGTGTGTGATGGGTGTGTGTGTGTGTGATGTGATCAATGTGTGGTGTGATGGTGTGAGGTGCATGGTGCGTTAATGTTAATGTGAGCTACAATACATGAACATAATAAACAGACACAAACATGTCTGAACTGAAATCAGGCTAATTACATTCTCCCATTTCATGGAGGGCAAATACTTTCTCTGCTCAGAATGAGAGTTGAGGTCCTGCTGGGTTATAATCCATCACCGATAAAAATTTTTGTACCAACTGAACGACCATAATGTTTAAAATCAGTTCCAGATATTTTCCAAATACCCTTTAAAGTAATGTTATTTATTAACATTGAAAGAATCACTCTGGTTATGAAAAATAATATTCCTCATAACCAGTAGTCAAGTTCAGTCTGACAAATCTGATGACTATTTTATGGTTTGTACATGGGTATAACGTTATCCTCAGAACTGATTCAACAACATATATTTCTTACAAGGCTGTATTTGGGAAGGACTTCGACATTCCAGACTTGGGTAAATGGTATATACAGACAATCAGACATGTGACATGCGATCTTACAAGACATGTCCATGGATGCATTGAAGCTGGAATGATGTCATATATTGGTGACATCATATTGGGCATTCTGGACATCCTACAGAAGCATCTCAGATTGTAGAATAATGTCTCTCTCATCCTGGTCCCAATGAATTGTTAGCTATGTTTGACATGATTGCATTTGGGTATTAATGCATGGACATTAATTGTAACATTTTATTATATCACCTCTATCATACATTAATTTATGCCTGACTCTGAGTGTGTGGGCTCGAATCCCGATGGGACTCAACCCAACAAAAGTACTAGAATCTGTATAAGGATATAACACAATACAATACAATACAATATAATATATGTTACATTTGATCACTTTCTGGATGGCATTGTGCCTCCTTTTATCAATGTATCCTTTTATCAATGTATAGTTGTGATATATGAACAGATGTCAGACATTAATAATGTCTGTTAATGTCAACATTTTGTTTTCCAAGAGATACTGTCATCAGCTTTTCATTTCACTGTTGATTTCAAGAACCTGTTGAACATGACATGCTTATTATGAAAAACAGAACAGAAAAAACTCACCAATTCCAAGATCAAGAAAACAAACGCTCCCAGTCTGGTCGAAGGCGACAGTCTCTGGCGTGATACACAACCCTTGGTATATATCAGGCTCATTCTGCATGTATTCCAATGTGAGCGCGCACTCTCTGCACAAGGCCCATAACTCCAGCTCTGTGATACACGAACTCCGACTAGACAACACCTCCAACAGTGACAACGCTTCTTCAATACCTTCACTCATTGCTTGTAGGGTATCCATGTTTCTGATATACTGATATCACATCAAGTTGTGACTGAATTGTTTGCTATGTTGAAAAAGCGCCAATTTCCATCATATACTCGGAAATGTCCACTTGGAATATAATAAAGTCAGAGGAACTATCATTGACACATTCTAATTCCATGGAGAAAATCCATTCTGAAAGGAAGAAGACAAGCGTTTGTTTTCAGGGAATATTACATTTGGAGTTATTCAGATAGGTCATGGTATTCTTGCAATAAATGCTATACATCATAATATTCTAAACAAAAACAAGGTATTTTAACATGCTGTATCTAGACATTATTACATACATGACATAACTGTATGCCAAGCATTACAACATAGTACATATATGCTTATAACACAACAGGCATTATAACATACTGTATCCAGACAGTATTACATACTAGACATTGTAACATACCAATCCATACCATAATATATTCAGATATTATTACCTATTAGACATTATAATATACTACATGCGTATAAAGATAAACATCAAAGTCAAGCCATCTTTTCTTCTTTTCTCTCAGACCGTTTACCACAAAACAGAAACCCTTTTAGAATATCCAAATAGAGGATTTCATCATTGAGAGTCAGGTTTGCAAACACATTCTTTTATTTGATTTACAATTTCATTCATGATAAAATGTTTGTATTGCTATAAAACATTAGTACTGAAATCGATTTCCACATACACAGATTATAAAACTGTATAAAATATTAGACAAAAAATAAGCTAGATCCAAAAGCACATTGTTATCAACTATCTAGAATGAACCTTCGAATCCATCTGTCGAAATAGACCCACTTAAATGTCATAAAGTAATGACTAGCTCCATTGTGTGACTATAGTTGAGATCCCAACATGAATCTATTACATATAACTTACTACCCTGATCTATATGAAATGATTCAGCAGTATTGTTCACAAATCTTCAAAAGTTTACCTATTCCCTGATACAGATACACCTTCTGCCCATGTACAATACAAGTGAGTTATAACACAGGTAGTACAATATCTTTCCTGATAGATTTGTCAACACATACACTACATTTAACCAGTCAACAAGATAGGAAATATATACTGTTACTGCACTTCCAGATGGGACATTTTCACAGATATTTCACAGATATACATGATCACAGAATGTACCAACAACACTGTTTACTTACAGATAATATACCCTGCACTATTAGGAAAGTCAATAACCTCATTGTAGACAAACACTGTAAACATATGGGCAACAGAACAGAACAACACTGGACAAACATGACAAACACATACCAAAGCCAACTTTGACAACAAACACCTTGAATAACTGTACATCAACATTACAAACAATATCAAACAGAACTTCACACAATATATACAAATACAGATCAACAAAAAATAAAGAAAACCTCACCTGTGATCTCTTTTCAAGGAGACATGAGAAGATAAGCTATGTTTTGTGTTAGATTGTCTCTCCTTACAGTTTGACAAGCACACTTGAATTCCGTCAAGTCCAACCCTTCACTCCACCTTGCCTGACATGGGGCCAGTCAGTGGTCATATTGTCTTTCTGTCCACTTGGCACATGTCCGAGCCATCCCAAATACCGACTTCTACGACCCACAAATCAAACGAGACAGATCAGTGTGGGCTCCACTAGTCTTTCATGTTTGACAACATGACCCTTCCTCACTAATTAGGAACCGTTATCCGTCTCAAAGCCATGCCTCATTAAACAACTGTCTGCAATCAAAGAACAAATATTGTCCCCAAGGAGGCAAATATGGAGACTGGCACCTTATAACGAAATCTTGAGTACACCTGTAAGAGTGACACCTGTATAAGGAATACAGTCCGAGAGCCGATCACTTGGATCAATTGTGGTTCAATACTCCTCCACTGGGCCCCGGAGGTAGAGTATTGAATTATCAACACGCCAACAGGTTCGTGCCTGCATAATCTCCATAAAAAGGACTGGCCCCAGTCTAGCCTGTGCTATAAATAGCACAGATTAACAAGAGATTACACAGCATATTAGTAGACATTAATTAGATGCTTTAAGACAATGGGTGATTAAGAAGTGGAGCAGGTCAAAGTTCATGTCAGTGCTTGGTTACGCAGGTTTGTTGATGCACCACTGATAACTCGTACAAAAACAATCCACACAATGTGGGCTGTGTTTTCAAGAGGGGAGGGTTATCCAGTTCAGAGGGGTGAATATTTGAAACTTGACTTTGTGCAGTGGAAGTGACATGGACTGTGATACTCACTACTTGGATGTAATCCTGACATAGAACACAAAACACTCATCTCGAGTTAACAATACCTCTGAAAGCAGGTGATTTAAACATGCTAAAATATTTAGAGGAAATAAGCAGGTGTGATTGATACATGTTACTATATTGTTGAGACAAATACACTCCGAAATCATAGAACATACATCTGAGGAAATTAGACAGTTTTCCAGTTGTCAAATTACTTTGGGACCAAAATAAATTATTTCTGGTTACACCCTGTTACAAGTTTACATCTTCAAGGAATAATATATTGTACTATTATTAGTTGAAATCATAATGTACAGACATTTTGGTATTATTAGATATTCAAAATATACTGAGAATGAAAATGAGATATTCCAATAAAATATTTTAATATCTTGCAAATTTTCTGAAATACAGTAGATAATATAGCCGGACTATTTACAAACTGATTGATGAAACCAACAAGAATTCTATGAATGAATAGTACCTTTCAATATTTACGTGGAAAAATATTTACTCGATTTTCATCAATAGTTTTTTCTCTTCCTATCTGCAACTATATAAACAGTAGCAACAAGAGACAATATTTGCTGGGTATCTGAAGAGCTTAATGTCGAGACTAGTACACTTGAATCTACACCAATATTTACAGTGCTGGGAGACAAATTGATGTCACTTCATTTAGTAGTTTTCAACTGGATTCTGAATGCTTTATAAACATTGTAATACAGAATACATACTTTCTGTCATTTAGTTATTTTCAAACCTTACTTTTTTGTGTTTAATATGAATATAATATATAAATTTACTATTTTATGACATTGTCACTATCACATGATACATAAACATACATAAACGTCAGATACTTATGTGATTTTATTGTTACTTTAGCTTTGATGTGTATTTCTACTGTCAAAACAAAAATGCATAATCGTGATATTTGAATTGACAGCTCTGATAATAAAGTCTACAAACTCATAATGTTAATGTCTGATTTCAAAACATATAGTTTCAATACTGCATCATATCAGAATGTTCACATCTGTTACGACAGATGTCCCGGTACGTCGTCCACCGACAGCCCCAAAGTATTTTCACTCCATCGTTTACATTAGCAACAGGCACGCGCATGTCAAAGCTACGCCCTTGACCGCTTTGGTGACCTTCACCTTCACACAGTCAATGCGGGAATTTCAAGATGGCTGCCGATGTTAGGGAAGCCAACTGTATTGTGACGGGAGAAACCAGCCGAGGAAGTGAGCCGTACCCATCGTCTATGCCGTCACACCTCATTGTCCAGAATCAGTTGAGGGATATCATTATTGCACAGAACGAAGTTGTAACACGTCTGAGTCAAAATGTACGGTGAGCTTTTGACATGCAGTGACAAACTTCATGATTTGGTGATAAATTTGAAGTCATTTTGTTTCGTGCTGCCATTCTCTGCACTTGTTGAAATGATAACGATGTTGTAATATTGTTGAAACATTTGCCTGTATTTATTCAAATGGTTAGATGTTCTAATTGTGTAATCAGCTGGTAATAACGAGACTTCCATGATTTGGGGATACAGGTGGTCAAACGTTTGTAATTCTACAAACATTTTTGTCCAGTGCAATAATCTTGGGCACCTACCAATGCCTGTAGATTTCACCAAAGAGGTAGCTTCACTACTTCTGACAGTTTACCCACAATTACCACACTGGTATAACATTGAGCTGATATAACCATAACAACTCACAATAGTAACATATTGTTCAGTGGGCATACAAGTTACAACACACCCTGATATATTTCCCAGGTCAGCCAGCAGGAGTCCTTTGTCAAAGAGAATCTCATCTCCAGAGAACAGCATCAATCAAAGATGCAAGAACTTCAGGTGCTGATAGAAGGATTTTCAAGATGTCATGTTCAACTCAAACAAACTTATTCCCTTGGTAAAATAGTAGCTAGAAGAAAATAATTACCATTATTAAGAAGGAACCAAATAAAAACTCACACCATTTATCATGTTTATATTTCAACACGATGACAAATCTTTTGTAATAGAAAGTGGCACAAGGGAAAGAGCAATAAGTCCTCATAAAGTATTAAGTATTTTAGAGAATCAGTAAATATGATAAAGATATCACCACTATGTAGTTTCTTGTCTTATGACACATAAGTTTATCATCATTATCATCATGATCTTCTGGTATTTAGAAGTCATTCTTCAAAATGCTGCATGAGTTAATGTTTATTACCATCACATATATACATTGAATATATACATATATACAAGGAGTCCATGCTTCTGTTGGTTGGATTTTCCTTGTCACCAGAATACTGTACAGCAGTGTCCAGATTTTTACATTGTAATGTTACAATTGTGATGTGTATTGTCGTTCTCTTTCCATATTGTACTGTGTCTAAAAGTTATGCTGAACTTATCTATGGAAATAGCTCTGATTTGTTGTCGTATATTATGTTTACTTTGATATATTTTGCATCTATAGGTGTACACTGACTGCTGATGGACAAAGTTAATAGTTGGTTGGTTTATCTGTCGACACTTTTAATGTCTTTAGTTTGGACATTTTATGCGCTGGTTCAGTCATGTGTGTTCAGTGGTATGTTTTCTCTCTGAATTTGAAAATACAAAGTATTAATATAATGTGATTATATTTAACAGGTGTCCATGTTGGAAGATTATGTACCACGTGAAGATTATGAAAAGGTTTTGAATGATTATGAGGTAAGTTTCAAACTCCAGGGGGTGCGGTGGGCTGGCCTAGTGGTTAAAGTCTTTGCTCGTCACGCTGAAGAGGCGGGTTCGATTCCCCACATGGGTACAAGGTGTGAAGCCCATTTCTGGTGTCACTCGCCTTGATATTGCTTGAATCTTGCTAAAAGTGGTGTAAAGCCAAATTCAATCACTCACTCAAACTCCAGGCTGCAAGTTTAAACTTGTGCATCTCCAGCTGTTATTTATCAATATGGACTATCCATTCAGAAATATGATGTTATAATAATGATATCAACAGCAACAAAGGATTACAATGTAGCCTCTGAACTCCATCTATAGACACTGCCTAAATTGTGGTGAGCACTTACTGACTTAGGACAGTGTATGGGGTGATATGACATATGTCGTGAATGTGTATTTTGTGGGGATATGCCACTAATATCATGATGTGTGAGGACGCTAACATAGGACAAACATATGGGGTTGTATGACATATGTGTCATGAATGTGTCTTGTGGAGGGGAGTTTGTCAGTTATATCATGACACATAACATATAGGATATCTGTATGGGGTTGTATGACATGTATGTCATGAATGTGTCTTGTGGAGGGGGGTTTGTCAGTTATATCATGACACATGACATATAGGATATCTGTATGGGGTTGTATGACATATATGTCATGAATGTGTCTTTGAGGGGTTGTCAGTTATATCATGTATGATATATAGGATATCATGGGTTGTATCATGTATGTCATGAATGTGTCTTGTGGAGGGGGGTTTGTCAGTTATATCATGACACATGACATGTAGGATATCTGTATGGGGTTGCATGACATATATGTCCCGAAATGTGTGGGGTAATATGTCACTTATACCATGACATGTGTTAGGAGAAATAAACCACAGGGGAGATATGTGTGGATATACTTGTAACATATATGACAGCCTTAAGCATGGTGAGACTGCATTCTTCAGACCGAGAAACTGGAGCATGCCCAGACCAAGGGGAAACTGATGGAGGTAACAGATAAGCTGGAGTTTGCCCTCGGTCAGATCGAAGTTCTCACCAAGCAGCTCGAGAGGGAGAAAACAGCTTTTGAAAATGCGTAGGTGCAATATTGTCAGTATCACTCAAGAACGAGTTGCCCTGTTGTCTTTGCTGTGCAGAGTTACATCCCTTATGTGTGCCAGGATCATTTGACTGTGAGTTTGGGATCCCTGACTTGGGCGATATTGTGAATCTTGGTTTGTCATCACCGTATTTACCATGTTTGTGTGTCTCACCAAAGTGGTAGGACTTCGGTAAAAAAGAACCATTTAAAAAGTCCTAAATTTGCCTAGGTAAAAAAGCCCTATGGAAAAAAGTCCCCTTTTCATTTTCTAACAAGAAATGTACAGAAAAACATTTCCATACAATCTTGGCTTTTCGAGTTGCATGTTTGGTGTACATATGACCATCTACTGGTAACTAGTTCTGGGTGAGATGCAATCAATTAAAAAAACCCAGTATAATCAGTGATCAGTAAACACACTGGGACACTTACAACTGTTTTTACTACAGATATAGGGTAAGTTTAGATATTTAATCAGTGAGCACATCATGTTTTTTAGATGTCGTTTAAAAGATCAAACATCAATTTAATAATTTAATCTGTCTTTATTATAATAATTTCTTCATGTATTTTTCTAAATCCTTGATCTTCATGTTTTTTTCTAAATCCTATGTTAATATTGTCAAATAAATAACTAAATCAGTAAAAGGGACTTTTTTACCAATGACTTTTTTCCTATCAAGTGGTAACCACTGAAACTCAGTCTTCCTCTGACTATAAAGGTGACAACTTGCAATATATTTTTTGAAATGGTGTTAAACCAAACTCATTCTATCACTAACTGGCTCCCTAATTCATTGACTTTAGTTACTTAACCATATCTTAACTGAATGTTGGGAGTGTTGACGAGGATTAGGATTAATAGGAGGATGTTCAGAAGAATATGTTGCAAGGCTTTAGTCTTCATGTTGCTGGATTAACTGAAGAGGCCACTCTGTATTGAAGTCATTAACAAATGAATTATCTCTACTGCAGTCATTGAGGGACTTTATAATTCATCTTCAATTTTTGTTTTATTTTTTTAAGATTTGGAAGTCTGAAAACAAAAGCAATAAAAGAAACATCAAAGAATCAACAGCTGGAAAACAGATGTCATGGTGAGTGGTGAAAGTGTCAGACTCTGTGTGTTGATATTGTTTGTGTCACAGCAGCAACAGCTGTTCATGGAGATGTGAGGCTAAACAAGTTGTCTGATATAGTTTGGCAGTGCAGTGAGAAGGAGATGGTGATGTATATGGTGTGTATTGTCAGATATCGCCCGGCAGTGCAGTGAGAAGGAGGTGGTGATGTATATGGTGTGTATTGTCAGACAGTGCAGTGAGAAGGAGATGGTGATGTATATGGTGTGTATTGTCAGACAGTGCAGTGAGAAGATGGTGATTTATATGGTGTGTATTGTCAGATATCGCCCGACAGTGCAGTGAGAAGGAGATGGTGATGTATATGGTGTGTATTGTCAGATATCGCCCGACAGTGCAGTGAGAAGGAGATGGTGATATATATGGTGTGTATTGTCAGACAGTGCAGTGAGAAGGAGATGGTGATATATATGGTGTGTATTGTCAGACAGTGCAGTGAGAAGGAGATGGTGATATATATGGTGTGTAATGTCAGATATTGCCCGGCAGTGCAGTGAGAAGGAGATGGTGATGTATATGGTGTGTATTGTCAGATATCGCCCGGCAGTGCAGTGAGAAGGAGGTGGTGATATATATGTGTATTGTCAGTATTGTCAGACAGTGCAGTGAGAAGATGGTGATTTATATGGTGTGTATTGTCAGATATCGCCCGACAGTGCAGTGAGAAGGAGATGGTGATGTATATGGTGTGTATTGTCAGATATCTCCCGACAGTGCAGTGAGAAGGAGATGGTGATGTATATGGTGTGTATTGTCAGATATCGCCCAGCAGTGCAGTGAGAAGGAGGTGGTGATGTATATGGTGTGTATTGTCAGATATCGCCCAGCAGTGCAGTGAGAAGGAGATGGTGATATATATGGTGTGTATTGTCAGATATCGCCCGACAGTGCAGTGAGAAGGAGAGCGTGCTACACCAGAAGGAGGAGGAGATCCGTGTCCTGGAGCGCAAGTTACAGGACCAGGTACGGGTCAGCAAGTACAGGGTGAGCGAGCTGGAGGTACAGAGGCAGCAGGACCGGTACATTGCATCACTCATGGGCGGAAAGGAAAATAAGACCAAGATCGGTACATCCAAACACAAGTTCTGAAAGTCAGAGCTTGCATGCAAGGAATGTGACAATAGGCCTGATGGTGATATTTTTCAGCAAGACTGAGAGCTATGTGTGCTGTTAGCAGGGCGTACAAAATGGGCTTGTAAACTCTGAGATAGTAGTTTCTTCTGTTTGGAATGTATGGCATGACCCAGACCGTCCTTTGTGAGCAAAATATACAGCTGTATTTTATAGCCAGTAAGATAATATGTCTGTGAATTGAATCTGCTATCATAAGAGCCTTCCTGACTAATTGGGTAAGGTGTTAATTCATGGACCCATAAAATTATATTGTCAAATTGGACAAAGGGAAGTAACTCTTATTGGAAAAGGTAGTGGGACACATACTAGAACAGTTACTGTTTTCAGTACAGCACCCTCTTCACCCACATTTTGTGAGGTAGTGTGGATCCATTCTTTATGAATTAATGTGGTTGAAATGCTGTGTAAATTGTCTAACTGGAAGTGTGGCAGTGAATGCCTACCATGGTCAGTGCCTATTGGTCGATAGAGAACCACCCAGAAATAATTGACTGGACCAGCATTAGATGATCATTCTGATTGGTCCACCTTTAGGTGATTCATTGAATTGATTTCCCCATTTCGAAATGATTGACTGGTGCCCATTGAAATATTTGATTGGTCCACAAATTAATAAGAGTAGGCATTTAATGTTATGTTTTACAATAAAGGCTTTTTAGTGTACATGATAGTCATTTCTAAAGTGTCTTAAATACTGATCAGTATTACAAGTTGTCCATTATTTGTAAGATGAGGGAGGCCTCCTTGCATGATTGGGAGAACTGAAATGCTGAGCTGTCAAATTCTGTGATACAAAGGGGTGACAGCGCTTTTCCAGGTTAGATGCCACCTGAGTCAGTTGTTTGGCAACTGTAAAAGATGCTAGGACGACTTTCTAAATCGCATTGTTTATTTGTGGGAGGTACTAATACGTGATGAAGTCATAAAGTGGGTGAAGCCCATTTCTGGTGTCCCCCGCCATGGTATTGTTGGAATGTTGCTAAAAGCAGCGTGAACTTAAACTCACTCACTCACTCTTAAAGTGGGTGTTCTGATTATGACAACTGTGGTGTTAGGAAGTCAAGTACTTCATTTTCTCTCAAGCTGTGTAAGATTGGGTGTTAGTGCCTGCAGGGTCACCAGGAGTTTGTTGTAATTTGTTGGAACAGTTAGAACTTCTTGCCATTATTCACACCCTTATTTCCCTGGATGTTACATGATATGTATTATACATATATATGAGTGCTTAGATGGTCATTACTTAGTGCAGATATAATCCTAGATGGTGCTACTCATCATGGTATTGTGTTAATGATGCAAACTGCCCGGACAGGTGCCCTGGACAGGTGCACTCACATGGTATGTAGTAACAATGCTAATAAATACTATTTGTTATTGTTTGTCTTCATTGTTGCGGTAATACACCACCCCTCAAGGAGTAGAACAGTATTCTATTGTGACAATATTGAGGATTGTGTGATGACAATTGTCACCTGGTTGATTATGAATGACAGTTGTTGATGGCTGATTACCTTGCCCAGGTCAGATGGAAGATTGCTGTAATGCAAGGTGCCGTCATGCAAGGTACTGTGATACAAGTTGACGTCATGCAAGGTGTTGTGGCCGTCATGCAAGGTGTTGATACAAGTTGCTGTCATGCACGCTGCTGTGATACAGGTTGCCATCATGCATGTTGCTATGATACAAGTTGCCGTGATACAAGGTGCTGTCACCACAGCTGCCATGGTGTGGCTGGAATGTTGCAGACATGAAACAAGATCTACTTGTTGACGGTTGAAGATTGATTATTTGTTTGTTTGTTGTTTAACCCTGCACTCAGCAATATTCCAGCTGTATGGCAGCAATTTGTAAATAATCAAATCTGATCAGACAATCTAGTGGTCAACAGCATGAGCATTGAACTGGGATACAATGACATGTGTCAACCAAGTCAGTTGGCCATACCACCCAATCCCGTTAGTCGCCAATTAAGACAAGAATGGTTGCTGAAGACCAATTCTAACAAGAATCTTCACGGGTGACTAATTTCAGAATGTTCTAACCATAGTACATTATAATTTATATGCATTTCGACTGTAGTATACAGTAAGTTCCTGGGACAAAAAGATCCAGTTCGTTATTTCCGTCCATTCATTATCAACTTCTCTATAGGCATAGAACTATTTTCAGACATCCTGGCTGTTCATTCTACACAATAACAAATCACCATGGCAACACTTCCTTGACTTTTATTGCAAGGAATAACACCACAACCCTGAAAATGATTATCATGGAATGTGCAGAAACATTCAATAAAAATCAATAAATATATTTAAAACAACATGCACGGAATGATTGATGCGCAAGTCATGTTGAAAACATAATAAGAATTTCTTACACATACTTGTCGTATCTGTAACACCACCCAATAATGTTTGTGATGAGTTTCTAATATATAAAGATATAAATGAAGAATTCTGCATTTTTCAATCATCTCATTAATTCCTGACATGCTACTGTGACTATTAAAACTGTACACATGAAAACACTGGTTACTATCTACAGCACCTTCCTCTCAAGCACCTGTTCAGTGATGAGTAAACAAGAACAATATCAAACTCAGAACATTATACCCTAAAACATGACTTATGTGTGAGTTATGCACTTAAAAAATAAATACCCTGAACAAAAAACAGAATTATGAATATTTAAGAGGAAACGACTTTGTAGTGAAACCTGATCACAAAAGTTTATAAAAATATTTCCCAAGATATTTATGATCCCTGTTTTGTTCAGTATATGTCATTAATATCTGCTAATTAGTACGATACATCACACTTTTCAAGACAATAATGCTATATCAGTTAACATGGAATGTATTAACATGTGATTCATGTACATGATTCATGATTCATCTTCACAAGGCTCAACCACCTTCACAGATTCACTACAGTTTCCAAACACGACAAATTTTCATTTCTGGTTTTCAACAAATAATACAAATCTGCATGATTTGGTAGTATTCCTTTTTAGATGTATAAAAAACACACCACCAACAAGCCGATACCAGTAGATGACAGGATTTTCTTGTTTTTTCAGTTGTGGAATAATGATGATTCATCTTTCATAATCTATTACAGAACATATTTTCTTGCCAATGGTCCCAGGTACGTTAAGAAACTGACACTAGATACACGGTCTCTGGAATTCAGGAAATATGGTTACAAAGCTGCTTATGTTGGACCCAAGCCTCCTGACACATAGGAGACGTGGTGTGATGTGTGGTCCAGCTGGTACCATGGGTTCATTCTCTCACTGTTGGGCGATGGTTTGTACCCTCCAGAACCTGGTACACGTTGTCTGGTCACTGAAGTAAAGTCTTCCTACCATGTACTCTTTCTTCACACCAACTTACGTCTTGTTTCGACTCATCCTCTACACATGACTATGGCAACAGAAGACCTTGTACAAGTTGTCACTATGGTAACTCTTAAAACCACTGTACATGTCATCACCATAGTAACACTTGATCACCATATACTGTTGCTAGGATTTTACTACTGTTTCTCTCATACTCTAAGTACTTGTACAATGGGTTTACACTGTTACACTATGTATGATATTGATAACACATGTAGGAAGGCTATACTGTGTAGGATAACACACTAGTAAGGTTACAGATTTACACGGTGTTGGATAATACACAGGAAGGGTTACACTGTTACACCTTTGAATAACTTACAGATAGGGAGGGTTACACTTGTACACCATGTTCGATAACATGTGTAGGGAAGGCACTGTTATACCAGGTTGGATAACACAGATAATGAGGTGTTGGATAACATGCAGATGGGGAGGGTTACAGTATGACACCATGTTGGATAAAACACTTGAAGGAAGTGTTACATTGCTTGGGATAACACAGGGAGGGTTTCATTGTTACACTGTGAGATAACAAAGGCAGGTTGGGTTACACTTCTTACTTACCCGGTAAGTTAAGACACATGGATGTGGTAGATTGACACACGTTTTTGATGACACACATGGGAGGGATTGACACACATGGGTTAAATGGCACTCAAGCTGCTTGAAGGATATGTATTACGCACACACTGGTTGGTTGACACACATTGGTTGGTTGACATACATTGGTTGGTTGACATACATTAGTTGGTTGATATACATTGGTTGGATGGCACAAAGGCTACTTGCAGGATATGTATTACACACATTGGTTGGTTGACACACAGGCTGCTTGAAGGATATATATTACATGCACCCAGGCTGGTTGACACACCTGGGTTGGTTGACACACAGGATGGTTTACACCCCTAGGATGGGTTGACACACAGGATGGTTTACACCCCAAGGATGGGTTGACACACATAGTCTGGTTGTGGGGTAGTACAATACACATTAGGTCATGTCAAACATAGATGTTTATACCCCATGTTGGGAATAAATCAGATATCACATGGAGGCCACTCTGATAATGTCTCTAAACAACATGGCTCTCTTGATCACTGATGGTGCATTCTATTCTCTGATGCCTCATGTAACATCACCATAGTCTAACACTGTGCAATGGCTAAAATGACCTTCACCTTGGTCACAAAAATACATGGACACAGGAATTAGACAAATGAAGGTGTCTAAAATGTCTCAAGTTTTAGTCTCCTTTTGAAAAGGTTGTTTTTTATTTTCATCCTCATCTAACGAGGGAAAAACAATTAACAGTAACTTTTCCATACATGTTAGACCACATTATTTCAGCCCGCTGAAGTTGTCCGACTGTTTGTTGGTGAAGACTCTAGGGAGTCAAGCAGTACGCTTGTCCGTGTTAATCTCCAGCTTCACCATGGTGGTGGCCTTGCTGTTGAAGGCCTTCTCCAGCAGCTCCTCTCCGTCATCCACACTGAACCCATTGAGACTCTGACTGTCCACTGATATCAACGTCACACCAGGCTGAAATACACACACACACCATACATCACTGTCAGTACAACAATCCCAGATATACAACCCTCATAAATGTTTCACAACCCCATGTATGAAGCCACCCTACATTTACATCATTAGGACAGGATTTTGGCATAACATTGTCAGAACATGAGGTCAATCTAAGTCGAAATACTGAAGTTTATGTTGTAGACAATTACAAGTATTCACTACTGTCAGCATCAAGACACCACACAGTGCATGAGATGAGTCATTTTTAATGAAAACATATTATATTAAGATGAGGACTAATTTGACTTGAAATAGCTAAGGGAGACAACTCACCTGGAGTTTTTCTTCATCTGCAGCTGCAGTGTCAACTAGCACTTCATCGATACGAAGTGGTAGAAAAACTTGACCGATAAGGCCCCCTCTCAAGTGGAGACCTGGAAGGGCAAACATCTCTGTACAAGAAGCAGCAATTTGATTTTATAACAGAAACATACACTGTTAAACAAAATTCAACAAGTCATAATTCAGTTGTGCATGTACATTCTCAGTTTTTACACACTGCATCTAATGATGACTTTATACTTTTATATAACTGTCCGGAAGATAGCACACCAGGCATGACCAATTTTTTTGCAAACACAGTGATCTGAGATGAAAGAAAAACATTATGCTGGAATAAAATTGTCGTAATTACTTAATATAATGAGTAGGTTGAATGCAAAAGTTTTATATAACAGAAAACTACAGAAGCTCATTCTTCCCAGCAAAACACCATTTCATAATTTCAGTTACAAAATCAGTTACAGATTTTCACAATGAATGTGTGTTTTGCAGACTAATGAGCAGGCAATGAGGGGATGATATGCTACATGAAGCAGGAAGGTAACTAATGTTCTAAGGTCAAGGTCACACAGACAACAAAGGATAGGCTTTGACTCAAATGTTGGCAATATAAAACAAATAATTCATACTGCAATATCTACAAAAGAAAATATTTGCAAACAAAAAGGTTTCAGTTCGTTTAAGGAAAAGAATTCTATGTCTGTAAGAAATCCAAATCCTGTTAAAAGTATTAGAAAAAGAGTTCTCTTGCATCCAGATACGTATTTCTATTTGTTTAAAAATGTATTAATTTTACATGGAATCCCAACCACAAGATCAGGACAGTTTTAGAGGAAGTAGAGATGTGTCAAACCCATTTTCAACTGATCAAAGACACGATCCAGCAACTCCATCCTGAGAATCTTTGGAAATTCTTTGGAAAAGCATTATGGATATGGGCTGGGGTGAATATATATGCACTGACTTATTTTCAGTGAAATATTTATATGGAAAATTATATCAATCTTTTGCACTTTAGTGTACATTAATTACATCACAAAACATGTCAGTTGGCACAATGGCTATTCAGACCAACCATCTGTCTGCTATAGGTTTTGACAACCCAACTGACCAATCACAGCTCACTGCCACAATGGGGAGATAACTTGGTGTTCTTGTTTTCGGTGGGTGGAATAAATATTAAAACAGACCCCCAAACATGGAACCTGTCACAAATTGCAACAAAGCTAAGAATACTGACAACTCTTATCAAAAACAAACCAAATGCCCAGATAACATTCTGCCATACCTGACAAAACTGAACTGACAGTTAGCTCACACAGTGTCAGTGACAGTAGTGTCTACACACTGATACAATTCAAAAGAACTCTTTATTCTAAGAAAGGCTGGATTCCAGGACTGAAACCAAGCTATCCCAACTCCAAGAGATTCTGGAAAGGCTGGATTCCAGGGCTGAAACCAAGCTATCCCAACTCCAAGAGATTCTGGAAAGCGTACCTAAAGTTTTCTTTAGCTTAGGGACAAACACGACTGTTGAATTTACGTGTGGTATGTCATCCTTATTATTGAAAATTTGCCGAATTGTGCGTCTGAAAACATATTAAGTAATACATAACTAAAACATAATACTATTTTCTTTGGCACCCAGTTTAAGACATTATTACATAAAACTGAACTGAGGTATTTAAAGATACAGATAGGAATGGCGGGGGAAGATACGGAAGAAGTCATTGCTGTTCTTCCTTATCAGTTTCAGGACAACTTCTAGGGAGGGCTGATATGTAACAAATGTTTTGACACACCTCTTCATTCCTTTAACGAAACGATTTCGATATTTCATCAAGTTAATTAAGAAATGAGTTATGCCAAATGGCTACCAAACAGAAAGAGGTGATAATGGTATTGTATATTTTCTTTAAAACAGGAAAAGTGTCAAAACCTTATCCCCAAATGAATATTGATCATGAAAATGTGCCTGTTCCTGACCCCTTTATTGGTCAAGTGGATTAAGGGTGGGAGGTTCACTGCCTTGGCTGCATCCTAGTACACAATGTTAAAAGATGGTACTTGTTGTTGCTCAGCCTGCTCAGGATTAAGGGGATAAAACAAGGACTAATTGTTTTGGCGTCTGAGTCACTTATCTTAATCACTTCTGGAAATAACAATGGGCAAATCCATAAAACAAGAACAAAATGGTAGAACTATAAATTCACTGAGCAGAAGTCACAAGGTAGTTAGACTTCTCTTAATTTATTTCAATAAACTTTTGAACAAAACTCGACCAACAAACTGGTCAATGTCTTACTTCTGCCCACTGTCAGCGACGTGGTTGAGCTTTACCCAGTGGATCGGCTGTGGACTGGTTGGTTTGTGTTCTGACGTTATGGCGGACGTCTCCTTGAGATGGATCGGTTTCGTCGCAACTGGTGGGGATGCAACGGGTGTGACTGCAACTGGTTTGACCGCATCGTGATGGGGATTGTCGAAACTTGAGTGACTCTTCATGGTCTCTAGAACCTTGGACGCTGTCCTCTTATCCTGCTCATGCTGATCTACTGTCTTGATGTGGAAGTGACCGTTTTCATCTGGAAAAAGCAGGGGTGGTGATTTTTAATACATTCGTTTATGTGTAGGCTTTAACCAGTGGTTTATTTTTGTGATTATAAAAGCAGAATGGAAAATACATGGAATGGTAAGATGAGAATAAAATATGGTTAGGCAATAGTTCAAGCATGTGAGTGATTTATGCAACACTAGAAACTGATTTCAAACATTGTACCCATGTAAGAAATGGAACCCAAGCCTTTGGAGTGATGAGTGAACCACTAGGCCATTCCACCATCCCCTGCAGCATTTCCAACATGGTCAGAGTCAGATACACAATATTGTAAGAACAAATAATGAAAATAAATGTTGCCAGGTAATGGTGGGTGGTTGCATAAGGAATGGAAAAGAAAACTGAGCAATGCCAAACAATCAACCAGGTCCTGTGTGCACAAAGCAACCCTAGTGTTACAGCTATCATAAGACTATGTTTAAAGATGGGAGATACGATCATCTTTGCTCTGTACACATGGGTCAAGATCTAGTGCTGGGAATTGGCTGAAATCTCACAATTGATGATTGTTTTATTACCAACAAACAATCATCGAAAAAAATTGGTTCTAGTCATTTTTCAGATTTTCCTATGCAGGTTGTTAATGCAGGTAAGTATAACATGATGCAACTCGCTTCTTAAAGTGATGACTAATATATCATGAACATGAACTTCCTGGAGTCCTCAAGAAATATTCAGTCATGACTTTTCATATAGTGAAGTGAGTTTTCTAAGAATTAAACAAGTTTTCAGGCCCTGACAACTTCGAAGATATGTTCCATCGTCAAGTATTCAAAGAGTAAAACAGTAGTTCCAAAATCGTTTGTGTTAGATTATGAGTAAATGTGATCGATTGCTTGGTCGTTTGGTCACTACGACAAATCTTCGATTATTTCAATTAATCGGAACACCACTATCAAGATCACACTTTTTTTACCACCAGGTGTCGATGCACTACGATGGTCATAAATAGTTCCAAGTCTAATCATATCTTGCAAGCATTTTTTGTGGACTATTCTGTCAGTGAACCTCTATGGTGGGACAAGAGAGTACCTACCCAACACGGTGGTCATGAGCTGTTTCTTGGGCCGATCCTTAATACTCTCTCGATGACGAAGTGGCAGATGCAGCTTGGTAGATAAATCTTCGTATCGCTCTATCTCATAGAAGTTGACCATATTGTCAAAGCGTGCTATGTGGTACGGGTAGATAACACCCCTGTCAACAAAACATAAGGGCATGTGGTGTATGGCAACTTCACACATTGAGTCAAGATTTGGCTGATTTCAGGAACACTGCAGTTAGTGGTGTCCTCAGAATGATAATGGTGTCTCTGGTGTCTGATGAATATATGATATAGTCACCTAGTTTAGCTTGACACCTCTGAAGAGAGGCCTACATCTTAAAATGGTGTCCAATTCTCCCAGTGAAAGTCTATGTTTTTTGTGATGTCTAAATAGCCTAATGTCCCTGAGGAGAAACTTTTAGGTTAATGGTGGTTAAATGTTCCCCAGTTGAGCTACATACCAGAGTAGTTTACATGTTATATGGTGATAAAGTGGTGTCAAAGTGCTGCCCAACTAACCTGACATCCCTGAGGAGAAGCATCTTTTCTGGCTTGTCCAGTATCTTCAGGAGTGCCTTCACCAGCGAGTCCAGATCCTTGTTCTCATGGTACTGGGTAACAGGGACATAGGTCAACATACACATTGTATATAACAGATATATAACTATAACTGGGATATATGAGGCATTCACTATGATGGAAATATATCATGTTCACCATCAAGACTTGGTGACAGGTACTGACCATTAAGGTGAGATAGAAGCCATTGGTTTTCAAGATAAGACAACAGGTACTGGGCATCAAGGGGATATGACAGATAATGGTTATTCAAGAAGACATACCATGTATTGACAACCTTTTGGCTTCATCAGGTATTGAGTACCAAGGGGATATAACAGGTACTGACCACCAAGGGGATATAACAGGTACTGACCACCAAGGGGATATAACATGTACTGACCACCAAGGGGATATAACAGGTACTGACCACCAAGGGGATATAACAGGTACTGACCACCATGGGGATATAACAAGTACTGACCACCAAGGGGATATAACAAGTACTGACCACCAAGGGGATATAGATGTAACAGGTTCTAACAGGTATTGATGAACAAGAGGATGTAACAGGTTCTAACAGGTATTGATGATCAAGAGGATGTAACAGGTTTGCACCATCAAGGAGAATGTATGAGGTATTGATCACCAAGGTGAAATAACAGGTATCGACCATCATGGGGATATTACAGCTAATGACAATGGGGACCACCTTTTGGGCACAGCAGGTATTGTTAAAGAGAGTGTAACAGATATTGATTACCAAGGTGATACAACAGGTATTTACTATCAAGATGATATAACAGGTCTTAACAAACAAGGTGTGGTAACAGGTATTAACTACAAGGTGAAATAACAGATAATGACCATCGTTGAGGTTTAACAGATATTGGCCATCAAGGTTACACAACCGGTATGGGTCATCCAGGGTATAGAACAGCTATTGACTATAGTGGGGATAGAAGAGGTACTGATTATCAAGGGGATTTGCCACTCACTGATTCCACCAGCCTGATGACTTCATTGCTCTCGTTCTCTGGCAACTTCTCCTTAGCGTTTCTCTTGAGGATGGCCATCTTGTTGGGGTCAATACTGGCCTGGGTCAGCAGGGGAGGGCGAGACTGGTCAGTGCCTACAAAAGTTGCACTGTGTTACGGCAACCAGTTTGTCATATCAAACTTAGCACTTACATAATTTACAAATTTCAAATAACCATATCTTATTCTTAAACAAGTTATGTCACTACCAGTTCTGTTTGAAGAGAAGATTGCATTTATCTTCAATAAGTATGGTTGAAGACAGGAGATATTGAGACTTAAAACAAAGCATTGGGTATTTTTTCACAGTTTACACTTCACTTCTGCAAAATTATGTGAGATTTGACAAAAACAAAAACTATGAAAATATATTGGTTAGGCCTTTGATATCATATGAAGCACTAAGTTTGAAATACTTTGAACATACTTTCCTAGCTCTGACAGAAGTAATGAAAACTAGTCTGAAATGCTTCACTATAAATGTTAGCTATGGAAACATAGAAGACAAAATATTATGGATGTCAACTTATTCTTTATTGTATACACAACGTTTCAGAGCTTTTCCTTGCCCCTTTGTCAGGTGAAAAGACAGAAACATAAATAAGTATGCTGTAAGTAATTAGATTCCGAGTATATATGATGGAGTGAGTGAGTTTAGTTTTACGCCGCACTCAGCAATATTCCAGCTATATGGCAGCGGTCTGTAAATAATCGAGTCTGGACCAGACAATCCAGTGATCAACAGCATGAGCATGGATCTGTGTCAACCAAGCCAGCGAGCCTGACCACCCGATATATATGATGGAGAAACTGCTTCTTTTTTAAAGCTCTGCTTAATGAGCAGTCTTCCCCACAAATTGTTATAAGAAGTAATTGAAAATATAAGATGTTTTATGAATTTGACTTGTGATATATTATTTACAAACAACACTAAATGATAAACTTGATATTCAAAATGTCAGCTTCTCATATCTACCATTTGTATTCACCTAAATTGTCACCTACAGAACATTAAAACGTAAATAGATAAACAATATGTTTCTTCAGGTCTAACAAAAATTACTTTAATGTTTCATAGATTGTAAAGGGTTTTTGGGGACTACTTTGCCAATATTATAACTTTGTTAATGCTTGTCCACAAAACATGACAACAAAAACATGTGGTTGAAAAATGAAAAATCTAACTTACCTTTCTTTTTTTCTGAAACAATAAAGGAAACACACACCAAAAATAGAGTGACAAATAATGAAAAAAAAATCAAGTCCTCCCATGTACAAGTGACTGAGGCAAGTGAGAAAAATCATGCATTTTGCTTCATTAGATATAGAGCTCTGAATGAGGTAGGTGGTTTGGTTGGGTTTGTTGGGCCTAGAGGATAAAGCATCTGCCCTAAGAGTGAAGGGTTGGGGGTTCAGTCCCTTGGTTGAGTTATACCACAGACAACAAAAGATGGAACTTGTTTTTTCTATGCCTGCACACTGCATTATGGGGATAACACACTGACTGGTTGGCTCACAGTTTGCTTATTACGTGTGAGTGGAGCATCTTATCACAATAGGTTAACACAACATAACTATCAGCTGTGCTGGTGCACATGCAAGCACACACATAGATGAACATCATTTTATCAGGGCAAATCCCTTAAAGGTGATATTAACCCAAATTCACTTCACCTGGAGAACCATAACATTAAAAAATTCAATATTTTGAGGTAAAAATCGGAACAGTCATGCTAATCCTACACCTGAAAAACAACAACACAATTCACCACTGATGTCATTTACAGACGAGATGTCAGGGATTGGTAACTGGATTAAAACCATAGCCATTAAGTAAAGAATTGGTGCACTGTGATATGTTGTGTCCAGAAACTAAAACTCAGTGTACTCCATATAATCAGTGAGACTGAACACAATATCCATGGTAAATCTGCTGGGTAATGGTAAAAGTTAGGGTGGAAATCTTTAGTGGAAGTTGGCAGGATAAGTAAATGGTAATGCTGGGAGCAGAAAGACAGCGAGTACTTACTTCTAACGCTGCCTTTCAGTTTAGATTTGAGACGTGACCACGTCCCCTTCTTGCCATCAGATTCTGAAACAGGCAGTCTCAGCTATATGATATACCAAACATAAAAAGTTTGAGATCAAGAAGATGTTTTGAGGAAAATTTGATGAAAGTCACTGCGCTCAATCTTCACAACAAAATTATAATCTCTAATGTTTCTGTTTGAATGTATATCACTGATTCCTGAGGAATGTATAAACAATACAATCACAAGGCTCTGTAGCTCACCTAAATCATTCTCTAATATTTGTAATATTTAATTATAAGGCCACAGTAAATGGTTAAACAAGAATATGCACAAATAAGTAACAGATCTTTTGATACAACATAACATGTTGGACATCTCACAATTATGACAGGGGAAATGACTTAGTAAAGGACATGTACAATATCATTGCTATGGCAACCACATTTAAACTTGTATCAGATATTCAGAGAGCACATATTAGACAATTTTCACACAAATCGAGCTTGAGGGATTTTCAGTATCATCACCATGTTCAAAACTGAATCAGAATTCTCATGGATTGGGACTGTGAGCCTTAACATGTTTGCAAATTGAATTTCTTTCTTGCTATAACCTCTCAAATCTTTTAAACTGGATATCTCACAACATAATTAACTTGGTAAATTAAAAAAAGGGTGATTAGAAAATCATGGTCTAAATCAATGAAAACAAATGTAAAAAATATTTTGAGGCTTTGCTCCTCATAAAAAACGCCCTGCATAGCATATAATGTCATCCTACTGTTGAACCTAATGACAAATTCTAGGAGGCTGATGACCTGTCATGACTGAGTGTTGTATAGACTAATGCTTAGTCTCTGAATATATATAATTTTGATAGTAACAAACAAGCCCATTTAAATTGAAAAGGAGCCCTAGGGAGACCAGAGATTCAGAACTCCTGAACCTGAGGAAATCTAGACTTGCTTTATTTAGGGCTTTAGCACTGCAGAGAGAGCTTGGCAGTAGGGAAATTACTGTGGTCCAGGGACTGTGAGACAGACTAAGTGTTGTAGTACCAGTCATAGTTTACCTTTCTTGGATTGGTCGATCTGTATTACGGCTCGGTTGCTGAGATGTGACTGCCTGTCTTCCAGCATCTTCAGCTGCTCCTGGAAGTCCTGGATTACCTCCTCTTCCTCCGGGGTCATGGAGCCGTTACTGGTGGTTCTGGTCTTCTCCACCTTCTTCTTGTTGACCTGGTGGCCAGACAAATACCACGGTAAACTATGGACCAGTCACTTCATATTCTGGCAAGGTAGGCTGGGATGGTCTTGACAAAATGTAATTTATTCAAGAAAATAGTAGAAAAACATATTTGTCAAACAGAAAAATCAAACTGTAAGTTTGATATGACTGATGTAATAAAAAATGTAATTGTTTCTCTCCTCCTTTTCAAGAAACACACCACGTGTTGAAGCAGTGACAAAGAAAATATCCAGTCTGTAAAATACACTTTGGTGTGTCTATTTATTAAAAAGAAAACTGCTTTATTACTATTGCCTGCCAGGAAGCACTTATTTATTCATATAGCAGTGAATTATATGGAGGTCAATGTTAACACAGTCTTGATAAATGCCCGGTATCTCCTAGATTACTTCTATGATTGTAACTTCAGTAGTTTCAGAATAAAATTAGTAGCAGTATTATATCATACCAAGGGTCTTTACTCTGTAAAACTCAGGTTTAGAACTCATCTGAGATCGTGTCCAGTAACATCAGAGTGTAGAACTAAAATAGCTTTGGGGAAAATCTCCATTGAGAAGCAGAAGGATGGAGGGATAGGAGAGATGACTGTAAGAACAAACTCTGTGGCAGGAGAAGATAACTCTGCACAGCTTGTGGCAACTCAGACCACTGGGGTTTCCCCATAACTCAATCAACAAACATGTTATGGAACTTGTGTTTTTCTCTTCTGTCATCTGTTGAGCAGGATGGAGCATAGTTCAGATATCATAAAAATGAACAGGTATTTAATGCTGACATTGCAATATAAAGCACAGATACAACTGTTTTTCATTTAAGCATTTATACTTAACATACTACATGATAGATAAGCCCAAATCATTTGTGAATGAATTTGTATTTGTTAGTCATGTTATTTATTATTTTAAATGTATTACCAAATATTTGTCCAAAGACGTTTTACACATATATTGATATGCTTTATATATATATCATGCATATATTAATATCCTCCCTTGGATCCACAAGTGAACTGACAAACACATGTTCAAGAACAAAGAGAGAGAAGTCAGACGAGCTGTTGGTCTCTTAGGATCTACTCATACCACATGCAACTAAATGAGATTGAGGGGCATACTCCCTTTGGTAGTGCATGTCATTGCAAGAGAGCAGTCTATGTTGATGATGTCAATCACTGGATTGCCTGGTCCAGACTGGATTATTTACATGTGGCCTTAAGGCCAGGGCAATTTTATTTTTTGTTTTACGGATCCTCTGGTCATATCTTTTCAAGAATAAGAATACAAATAAAAATTTATTTAAAAAAAAGAAAGAAAAAAATCCTCATGTTTTTTATTGGCCAAAAATGTAAATTTACAAAAAAATATTTTTTGGATTCTTTTTTTTCCTCCATATATACTTCATAAATTACCAAAAATAAAATACCTTTAGTATTTAAAAGGAAAATTATTTTAACTAGTGGTTTTTATTTTTTTAATTTTTTCCCTCCTGCCTTTAGGTTTTCTGAGGACAAAAATCTGTAAAACAAGAAATAAAATTGGTCTGGCCTAAACACCAAACACACAAGACCCATGAAGATCTGGGTTAGAATTTGTCTTCAAATTGTTGTAAGAGGTGACTAACAGGATCGGTTGGTTAGTCTTACTGACTTGGATGACACATGTGGTTGTGTCCCAATTGCGTAGAACAATGCTCATGCTTTTGATCACTGAACTGACTGGTCGAGACACGATTAATAACAGCCACCACCATATAGCTGGAATATTGCTGAGTGTGGCGTTAAACAACAACCAGCCAACCAACAAACCAACCAACCAACCAACCAGATATACTGACCTTGCTATAGACTGGTTCCTCTACTTCCGTCTCAATGACAGTGTCCACGGTGTCAATCCCATTCTGTTGGTGCACGGGAACACTATTTTTTGGTATGACATATTCCTCCAAGTTTAGAGGTCGGTCCCTTGTTGACTCATTTATTTCTTGTAGTGAGACATACTGACCTCTTGAATTTGTGTTAGCATAAACAGGGTTTGTCCGTATTTGAGTTGCCTCCCTTTGGCTGTAATTATCAGAAATGTACACATCGGGCCAATTCTCCGATCTCCCTATTTCTGCTGACTCATAATGCTGTCGTAATTCATTCTCATAGATGGTTTTCGACGTACTGGGGTAAACTCTTTGTTCTTGATGTCTCTTAATCTTTCCCCGAATCGGTGTCATTCATGTCATGTCCATTTAACCGAACAAAGTGAGCATCATAATCATCATCCTTCAGCCGGAGGTCAGTGGTGTCATCCTGCCTGAACTCGTAAACATTTTCTTCATGATAGATGAGACTGCCGCTGCGTGACTCGCTGGGCAGGTAGATGGTCGACGGAACATGGTCAACACTTCTGTTGAAGGGTAAAGGTGTAGCGTATTGTGGCGTGGTGCGGATGTGCAAGGTGCTGTGTCTACTCGATATAGGGCTGTCAAACATGGCTACTCTACCTGCAAGAAGCAGAATACAAATTTGTTCATAAAGCAGCATTTAAATATAAAATTTGTTCATGCATGTTTTTCATTGTTTGTTTTGACGTTTAATGCAGCAATATTTCAGATATATGATGGTGACTGCGAATAATCAGATCTTGTTCAAACAGTGAGTGAGTGAGTGAATTTTGCTTTACGCCACACTCAGCAATATTCCAGATATATGGCAGCGTTCTGTAAATAATCGAGTCTGGAAAGACAATCCAGTGATCAACAGCATGAGCATCGACCTGCGCAACTGGGAACCGATGACATGTGTCAACCAAGCCAGCAAGCCTGACCACCCGATCCAGTTAGTCGCCTCTTACGTCAAGCATGGGTTATTGAAGGTTCATTCTCACCTGGACCTTCACAAGCCCAGGGATTTGTCTTGTGAGCCACAAACCGTCAGGTTACCATGACACATACGTCAGCTAAGCCTGAACACCCAGCCATATCATTGCCTCTTATGACCGAAACAGGTTGCTGGGGCCACTTGCTAATTTTAAACAGTCAGATTAGATTTGATATGTCGTTGACCGTGTCTTTAAGCAGATTATTGTATTGCTTTATATGCCAAGGGACATACAGTCGAGCACCGTTGTCTCGATATTCATGGCACCAAGAAAAAATATCGAGTTATCCGAACTTCGAGACATCCGACCAGGCCATATCATCACATATCACTTTGAAAGAAAACAAAACAAAAAGTAGATTTCATGTGTGTTTGTATATTTCCACAAATCTGTGAACGCATCTAGGGCCAGTCACGTGATCACACAAAACCCTCATTGGATTTTCAGTATGTTTTGATTCGAAACTATAATCCATTATCAGTAGTGTTTAGTCGTAACAGTTAGTACTTCCTAATTAATTCCTTCTTAATTAATCCTAATTAAATAACAAACAAGTGACACCTTCAACTCAATTAGCCCTAATTAGTTTACACTACCGCATCCCTTTGATTCATGCTGCCCCGTGTTTAATAGTGTGGTAACAACCTCAGTTCATAAGGACACTTACACATGAAAGAAAGGTAGGTGAATATCGAGTTTCTTTGCAAATACTGAGTTAAAAAGGTAATTTTGCTTGTTGGGACCATGAAAATATATCGAAATATCCGAAATATTGAGACATCCGTATCGAGTTAAAAGAGCTTGAAGAATGATAAATTATGAAGGATTTTGCCAGGACCAAGATGTTATATCGAGACAACTGAGATATTGAGTTATCAGAGTTCGACACAACAGTGCTCAGCTGTAACTCCATCTACCGACATTCACTGTACCCCTTTAAAAAACATAACAATTACATTTTTCGATGAAATTTCCATTCATACACATACACATAAGTTGTTTCCTGCTGTTGTGATACTGCCGATATACAGCAGAGTGCAACAACCAATCAAACGTTCCTTCACATCACGCACATATCATAATCTCATTACATTCAGATCCTAGTTCTTGCTGCTGCTAAACATAGATAAAACATAATATATACCATTTATTAGACATTTGGAAGTTTTGTTTTCTTCAGTTATAAAAAAGATTCATAATACAGCATTTGTCACTGTAACTTTCAGAGTGTTGTCTGGAAGGAAGAGTCACCAATCAAGTGCTGTGGACCTCAAGAAAATCAGTTTCTGATTGGCTAATGTAAACTTCTTGTTAGTCATTTGATTGATTGGTCCAAGTTATTAAAAGGTCATTTTGATGCCACCTGTAATTTGATGTCCTCAGATCTCTGTACAGCAGCGAGCACTAAGATTGAATGAAAACGACACATCTAAAAAAATAAATAAAATTACACCAAAAAACAAAACAAACCCAAAATAAAACAGTTTTTTTAGCTGTATCAAACTTTTTGACTAAATGGCACATTTGTAGAAAAATGTTTAAATATATACTCAAAAATATATAAATCAACTCCCAATATAATAATAAATAATATAAAAAGGACACTTTGGTAATACATGCCCATGGCACTAGAATATAAGATAAAATACAACAATATTTACTGAAACTATGGAAGAAAACTTGATTTAAGAAAGTTGACCAGTCCAAAAACTCGGAGTAATAGGAAATGAATATATAAAAACTACTTGCTAATTTATGTGGGACAGATGCAAAAAATCTTTTTGTATCTTTGGAAAATAATGGACAACGGTTGGGTAAAAATGGTGTAATGTCACATGAAATCAACTCCAAGGGCTTTTCAATACTTACAGAAATCAGATCCTGTCACTTAAATAACATTCCAAATTTCTTGGACCACTGACACAAAATGTAAAATAATCAAAGGGATGTTTATATCACTATAAAACAGAATTTCATAAACATCATAAAAAGTCATATTTTTCATTTATAATATTTCTATTTATAAATATCTCGTATATGATATATGTAAGGAATCTAACCAGTCAAAGATTACTACCTTTAATTTTGTTAAATACCTACAAAATTTTCACTATCAACATCCATTAATTCTGCCCTGCCAAAAAGAGTGTTTGGTTTAATGAGTATTCACATCCAAATATGACAAGCGACAACATCAAGGCGTATTTAGCTGAGTCCCAGAACCCAAGCAAACTGAGAAAAAGGACTCGAACCTATCAAAAGTGACGACTATAGGAATGGACTGCCCAACCTGAGTTCCGATGAGCTCGGTCACTCCACGTGTACTCTGCAAATAGTTCCTTGTAGGCTGGATAACGTCCCACTTCCTGAAACAAGAACATCTTTTGTTAAAAACATTCCCCTTCTTAAGTTACCTTCTATACAGGTAATGCCAGAGTATTGCAGACCGATTCTGCCTTGGATTGCCAAAGGCAAGATAATTGGCCCCGATTTGGCATGGAAATCCAAGAGGAGACAAGTATGGGGTACTGTGGGACCTTGGGACCTTGTCTGCCTGGGAATCTTTAGGGTACAGGGACCTGGTAAGCCCCAGAATTCCATGGCAAAACAAGTATCGGGTGCTGTGACCTTGTCTGCCTGTTAACTCAATGGCACCCTTTGGATAACTCATACTATCATGTAAAATATCCCTGTGGCAAAAGCAAAGAGAATTCCCAATGAGTCTTGGTGTAACATGATAAACAGTCGATATCTGACACTTATAGTTACAGCATGACAAGTCCTTACCCTCAACGTAAGTACAAGATTGGGATTTGTACGCAGGAAGTCAGCTGCTGCACTATGGGAGATTCTGGTGAAGTCGGTACCATTGACATCCAGTATCTGGTCTCCGGTACACACACCGTTCTTCTCAGCTAGGCCACCAGGGTCCACTCTGTAACAGAAGCTCATCCATTAATACATAGCATAATTCTTGGTCAAATACTGAGATGTAACATATGTTATATTTGGGATTACACTTACTCAGTAAAGTACAGATTCTAGTACTTTTTTTTGGATGAGTCCCATCTGGGATTTAAACCCACACCCTCAAAGTCAGCCGCTTAACCCGTTCAGACACCACCTCCAGTGGAAGCCATGGTCGCTGAGCGGGTTAGGCGGCTGACTTTGTGTGCTGGCGATTAGAGGACTGACTCTGGGGCGGTGGGGTAGCCTAGTGGTTAAAGCATTGGCTCGTCACGCCGAAGACCCGGGTTCGAATCCCCACATGGGTACAATGAGTGAAGCCCATTTCTGGTGTCCCCCGCCGTGATGTTGCTGGAATATTGCTAAAAGCGGCGTAAAACCAAACTCAGTCAGTCAGTCAAACACTGAGATGCTGAGGGTCCTCTTCAACAAGGAGTTAATGCCAAGCCATCATAAATCTGTACTCAAATACAGGGGTAGACTAACATCTGGTTTCTGAAATGAACATATTTCACAGAAAGAAACAGTTCCTAAATTATATACATAAAATTAAAATAAAAAGGCTCCAAGAGACTTTAGACTTTCCACATAATTATTATGCCCTTGCAAGGGCTATATATTTGTTTCAGGGTCTGTATACTGGGGTTCCAACATTCAGTTTTAAGAGACTTTTGTTGTACTAGCCTGAGACCAACAAGCCATGGGTCCTGTTCAAAAGACAGTTAAAGCAAGGGTAATCCATTAAATGTAAATCTGTACTTATGAACACAAGCACTTCCTCATGACCACTGAGTAATCTTGAGACACAGAAGTCCAAGGTCAACAGCCAGGTAACACCACGTGGTAAGCAGAAGTTGTACGCACATGGAATGGGGTAAAATATGGAAGCCATTTAAATTCACACATTTTTACCGATGTTACTGTAAACTAGCAGTCAATGGAAAACGAGGCAGTAATCAGTTCGTGATTTTTGATTGGGGTAAAATAAGCAAGCTACAATAAGTTTGTTGCTACAACAAATATGATACTTAGAGAAACAAAATATATTATGCATTTTCTGTCAACTACACTTCGTTTCGATCCGTGAGTAGATGCAATATATATGATTGTGAATTCTTTGAATAATGTGGACCAAAGTTATAATTATTGGTAACTGCCAGTTGTCTGTGGTCTGTGTTTGCCGCGATTAGGACCCCATCGCTGGGGATCGGCTTATGCACGAAACATACCATTTTGACACTGATTTTATGGGTCAAGTTTGGGGGTCGTCTTATCCATGGGGTCGGCTTATAGACGGTAATATACGGTACCTTGACACAAAGATGCCCAGGCCATATTCACTGCCGCCCCTGATGTTGAGTCCAATGAAGTCAGTGCTGTTGACGGTCTTCACTGCCACTCGTTTCTCCCGGAGATGTTGGCGGTCAAGGCCTGAGATGTGGTATGTGTCCGGGTCTGTAGGTGCGGCAGAAATGATGTCACCTTCATGGACGTCATACCTGTAACAGTGTTCACACAACTACAAGACCACACCCAATATATAGCAAGCACTAAGTAAGATCCTGGTGAATAAACGGCTCGTTCATCATGGCAGTTGAGATCCTTGTTTCTCAGGACATATTTCAAAACTGTCTAAGCAGGATATTGCTAGGGATTCAGTGGTATTTGGTTGGTCAACCAAGCAACATTTTATGCATTTATGTTTCATAACAATAAAGAAACGCTGAAGACCCGGGTTCGATTCCCCACATGGGTACAATCGAACCCGGGTCCGTTGAGCACTCGTCAGTCATTGCTGGTTGAAATAAGGGGTGATGACATAGCCTAGTAGTTAAAGCATTCGCTTGTTGTGCTGAAGACCCGGGTTTGATTCCCTACATGGGTACAATGTGTGAAACCCATTTCTGGTGTTCAATCCCATGATATTGCTGGAATATTGCTAAAAGTGGCGTAAAACCAAACTCAGTCATTCTAAATCCTGTTCAAAGACTCTACTAAAGAAAATATCAAAACAGGATTTAGAAGTGAAACACATTGAAACAGGAATTTGTGCCCATCAAAATAAAAAAGTTGACTAAGCCTTGAAGTGATTTGATCATCAACATGGGAACAAAGTGTGAATTACATTGTTAGTGTATACCAGTGTAGGAAAGATAGCCCGTCCCAACGTCCGAGACGGGTGAATTTTGTGGAGGACCGGTTCAAAAAATATCTAGTCCGTCCTCATGTCGGGTCAATTTTAGCAAACCAATGACATATATATAATGATTATAACCTTTTTGAATATTTACTGCCGAAGGTGTTTTATTTATATTTGGAGGACAGGCTAGATTTTGGCAGGACTGGTAAAAATTTGACCTGCCAGTCCTGTGGACAGGCTAGATTTTCTACATCTTTCCTACACTGTGTATACCCTCTAGATATTGCAGAAGTATTGCCCTTCACTCACTCACACACCCACACACTGCTCATAATATAAATCACAGGATTGTCTGGTTCAGACTGAAATATTTACATGCCACATAGCTTGAACATGCATTGCTGTGGTGTTAACCAACAAGCAAACACAGACCACAACAGAAGCTTTGAAATGCCAGCTACTTCAAGTCCTATAATTCGATCCAATATAACACTGTACACAACAGTGTATATCACGTCACATAAATATTTTATCAACACATGTAATATACACGTCAAACATTGTTGCTCCTTGTACGACCCTATGGCTGCAGCCGATAAACACAGGATGCCCCGGGAGATGAAGAAGTGCTTCAGCATGTTCGTATTCATACTTGCAGCGCATGTGAAAGTGTACAGAAATAGAGCTATCTTAGAGGTCTGTCAGTTTCACTCCACTTGATAAAGTGCATGTCAATATCTCCAGACATCTAAAGATTTTCGAGTCAATAGTGTTTGAAGAGTGGCAACTGAACCTCCAACAATGATTCATTTAGTATACTGAGTCGGCTACATGCAATAACTGGATAGGTGTAAGACAGGTGTAACAAATTTACCTGTACAGGTATTGTATATGAGTAATTGGATCCATGTGATTAAATTAGTCAGTTCTTCTTCATTAAAATCAAGTGAAGAGTAACTTATTTTAGTTTATTTTCATGAAATAAAATTTCCTAAAATTTGCATACAGAATTACATTGGTTTCAGAGTGCAATCCAACATAACTACTGGGTACCCAGCTGGTGCTTAAGATGGATACCAGACACCAATGCTGTATACTGCCCCCCATCAAACCAGTCCTTGTTATCCTTGTAAGCACCAGACAGGGTAACAAAATGTAGCAGATTTTAATATAATTTTACAGTAAGTGACAAGCAGAAACATACTAGCTATTACAGACCAATATACACAGTCTAGCAACAACATTTTTCCATTAATTATCTAATAAACATCATTGATCTCAAGATCATAAATTCTTTTTCAAAAGGTATACTAACCAAATGGAAGACTCAAAGAATGATATAAGAAATATACACTAATGTCCAGCTGTCTTTCAGAGTTCACATTTCTCAGGTCACACGTTCTATATACCCATTTATACCATGGTTGGTAGTTTTAGAGTCAAAACTGTATCTATACATATTTGGGGCTTAAACTGTAAACACCATGGCCCATAATAAGTATGATTAGCTTTGTTTGAGGTGTCAATACTGTGGGGAGAAATGATGGCCCATATTTGTCCTCCGTTCACAAGAAGGAATAAAGGACTCGACACAGTTATAATTCACCAACCTTTTTTTCTCAAACAGATCTTACAAAATATTCTGCTGACTCCATATCAACTAACACTTACAAAACCTATTTCTGCATGTTCATCTTCCGCAAAAAGTCTCTGGAAATATGTCGCATCACCAGTGTAAAAGTATTATGTCATGATAAAACAGCCAGTAAATAGTTTTACAGTACCATAGAAAAGTAGTCCAGCATCCTTGCTACCTCTTCCATGTCACCGTCATAGGCATAAACTAGCTTTCTTGCCTAGACGTGAAAATAACTTGACACATATCCTCCAAAAGTATTCCACACTATATCAGTGCTGCGAGTGACAGTCATGCAAGCACTGCAACCTATCATCAATCATTTGTGCAGTCACACAAGATGTTCTGTAACCACGGCAATATGCAAATATTGCCTATCCTGATACACCCACCTGAGGGCTATAGAAGCTAAGATAAGCAAACAGCAACTGTTGTTAGGAAAATATTTTCTGACTTAATTTTCAATGTGACACACATGCTGATGTCTTTGATAGAGAGGTGTGATGTAATCTGTCCATTGACTGTCTCTGGTAGCAGGGATCTTTGGGATGGAGAGGTGTTATGTAATATCCTGCGATCCTGGGGAGGTGTTATGTAATATCCATCGATCATCTCTGGAAGCAGGGATCCAAAATGGGGAGGTGACGATCATCTCTGGTACCAGGGATCCAAAATGGGGAGGTGTTACGTAATGTCCATCGATCATCTCTGGTAGCAGGGATCCATAATGGAGAGGTGTTATGTAATATCCTTCAATCATCTCTGGTACCAGGGATCCAAAATGGGTGGTACCAGGGATCCAAAATGGGGAGGTGTTACGTAATGTCCATCGATCATCTCTGGAAGCAGGGATCCAAAATGGAGAGATGTTACATAGCGGTGTAACGATTCATCGATAGTATCGATGTTTGCATCGTCAACTACGCGATACGAGTGCATCGATACAAAACACATTTAGGCAATATATCAGGATATTTATATCGCAAGGGTCCACGATACATCGATGTATCGCCACAAGAGACGATATATCCCGATACAACTTCAATACTAGTTAAAGTTGTAAGGAGTATTGCATTAGGAATAGGAAGGGAGTCTCTTTGAAATTCTTCTGAATTTTAAAAACAAATTGAACCTTTTAGGAATGTGTTTGTGTCTGTTATCTTTGTTACATGGACAAACGAGTTGGTGTATAAGTGAAAGCGTGTGAACATTTTTCAAACTCTGTGAACTGTAGAATACTTGTCTTTAGTAATTGAAATATGTTTTAGTTGTTTGACAAATACCACCATTTATTAACATACACAAACGATGTCTTAGCTTTGTTAAGAAAGATAACAAAGAGAAGATAAAATTTAGAAAGCATACCTAAGAGTTTTTTTCAGTGATTCTGAATTCTGATATAAATTACATTCAATTGTTTGTTAAAGCATTGGTGCAGAAACACACCTTCCCGAAGGAAACTTCAGTTTCAAACTTATATATGTTAGATCAAAGTATACTGAATGTGTTTGACTTTACTTTAAAAGCATTAAATGCTGAAACTTTATTAAATGAACAGCTTTTTAAGTGTGTGTGAATGTAACACAAGTTCAGCTGTATAACAAATAAAGTTTCAGTCATTTTATCTATCATATATGTTCTGCTATTAGAAATTGTAAAGTATCGGGATACGTATCGTATCGCCACCATTTATCGTGATGATAATCGTCTCGCAGGTTCCTTGCCAATACTTTCATGATATATCGTCTCGCCTAATTAAACTGGTAATGGGATATATCGTCTCGCCACTTAGACCACGATACACAGCTCTAATGTTACATAATGTCCATCGATCATCTCTGGAAGCAGGGATCCAAAATGGAGAGATGTTATGTAATGCCCTTTGATCATCACTGGTAGCAGGGATCCAGAGAAGAGAGATGTTATGTAATGCCCTTTGATCATCTCTGGTAGCAGGGATCCAGAATGGAGAGGTGTTATGTAATGCCCTTTGATCATCTCTGGTAGCAGGGATCCAGAATGGAGAGGTGTTATGTTATGTCTTCGATCGATCAAATCCAGAGAAGAGAGGTGTTATATGTCCTTGATCATCACTGGTAGCAGGGATCCAGAAAAGAGAGGTGTTATGTAATCGATCATCTCTGGTAGCAGGGATCCAGAATGGAGAGGTGTTATGTAATGCCCTTCGATCATCACTGGTAGCAGGGATCCAGAGAAGAGAGGTGTTATGTAATGTCCTTCGATCATCTCTGGTAGCAGGGATCCAGAGAAGAGAGGTGTTATGTAATGTCCTTTGATCATCTCTGGTAGCAGGGATCCAGAGAGGAGAGGTGTTATGTAATGTCCTTCGATCATCTCTGGTAGCAGGGATCCAGAATAGAGAGGTGTTATGTAATGTCCACCGATGAATCTCTGGTAGCAGGGATCCAAAATGGAGAGGTGTTAAGTAATGTCCATCGATCATCTCTGGAATACAGTCCTTGCATTTTAAAGAGTTTATATCAATATTTTGATCAGGGTTTTCAATATTTGAGGTTATCCTATACAGCATCAATTGATTTTACACTAACACGATACATAAGTGATAGTGTATGATTGGTTATTCAAGCTTGCTTACTTTTCAACAAAACATCTGACAATACTTATACACCTCCAGTGTCGTCACTCTATAATGTCTCGCCAGGTTCATCTTTTACAGAATAAACCTCTACAGGCAGATTCAC